CGTATGTATAAATTTTTATTCTGTTTTATTGGATTATTATTAATGATTGTTGTTGAAAACAGTTCATAATAAAAATACGTTTTAATTAAAAGAAAGTGAAAAAAAATTAAAAATTTATGAGAAACTTGAATGGTTTTTCATTGGAAATTAAATTTTAAAATCTGATAACAAACAGATTTATTAAATTTCAAATATGAATAAATAATTGGTAACATTTTTCTATATAATTCATAATCAATTAGAGTAAAAAGGCAGTATTTTCAGAACAAATGCTCGATAAGAAGAAGAAGAAAAAAGAATGAAATAGATATTGCTTCTTCTTCTATCACTCCCCACTCCCTCACTAATTTAATGTTAATTTCAGAAAATATTTGTGACCGCGCGCAATGCGGTTAATAGAATCAGTGTCTGCTTCGTCATAGTATTTTGAATATTTTTTAGAGCGTAATAGCTCTGATTAAATTTAAATTAGAATAATCAAACGCGAAGGTAGAATCAGTGTTTGTTCGCCGATTATAATTTATACGGACGCGTTACTAGTTTCTTATTTTTTATTTTTTTTTTAAATATTCGTTTTCGGTACAGAGTAGAGTCAGTGCTTCTCTCATGAAAATACGGCGATCATCCACCACGCGAAGAGGTAATTATCCTTTTATCTATCCAAGATTTTAAATAAAAAATATTATATTTTTAAGAAAAGAATTACATAAAATATTTCACATTTTATTTCACAGATGCTGATGATCTTTATGAAAATTTTTGGACTTGGACTTTAATCTTAAAAAGATATTTGTGACCACGCGCAATGTGGTTAGTAGAATCAGTGTTTGTTTCGTCATAGTATTTTGAATATTTCTTAGAGCACAATAGCTCTGATTGAATTTTAACTAGAATAATCAAACGCGAAGATAGAATCAGTGTTTGTTCGCCGATTATAATTTATACGGACGCGTTATTAGTTTTTTATTTTTTATTATTTTTACTTTTTTTAAATATTCGTTTTCGGTACAGGATAGAGTCAGTTCTTCTCTCAAGAGAATAAGGCGCTCATCCATCACGCGAAGAGGTAATTATTGTTTTATTTATCTGAATATTTAATTAGAATAGTTTTCAATTTTTTCAAGTAATCAGAACCGTGTTTTAAATTATGACGTTTTGTCACAGATTTCTTCCATCCTTCTACCTGGTGAGATTCTTCTTCCGGATGACTTCTGGGTTACAATAATAGTGAAGGCATTCGTCGCATCATATGGTGAG